ATGGCTGTACAAGATGTTGAAGGAATCAAACAACTCTTTAATGAAAGCAAAACGCTGGTGCTAATTGGTGCATGCAGGTTCTGAAGCAGCCTTACATCTTCTGCAAGTGGGAGGAAGGTCTCGGCAGAGCATCCCTGGGTGTTTGAGAGCTGTAACAGTGTGGGGCATAACGCATGCTAGGCTATGAGCCTATGTGTTAATTGCAGACGGGGGACAAGGCTGTAATGTTAAATAGAGGGTGGCAGTATCAGCAGTCTGGGAAGACATAACAGTAGGAGCATCCCCTCTGCTTCTGAAGTGCCAAAGTTCTTGAATGTGGATCCACAGGTAGCCAAAACAGCACCATAATGAGGGAAAGAGAATTTTGTTTGGTCCACATGTTTATGCAAACCAACCCAATTAACACCTCTTGGACTAATATCCAATCAGAACATTATTATCTTTCGGATTTCACCCTTCTGCGAATTTTGTAATATGGTTCTTAGATAGGAAAAAAGTACAAAATACATAGAAATGCATAGAAACCCAGCCAGGTGGGTCGTGTATAAATGATAAAACAATCATCATCATCATTATATTTTAGGATAAAATATGTTTAGAAATGTGTGTGCATTGAGAAAAGTATTTTAAAAAGCTTCAAGTGGGGGGGGGACTCTAAAAAAGAGGACCCTAAAACAACACAATGAAGACTGGGGTTACATCAACACCATTCCTTTAAAGCACATTGCTTCCTCCAAGGAATCTTGGGTATTGTAGTTTACTAAGGGTACTCGGAATTATACAGCTCAGTGAGGGGTAAACTACATTTCCCAGGATTCTGTTGGGGAACACCATGCGTGGTAAATGTATGCTAAATGTATAGTGACCCAAGTATGGATGTGACCCAAGTGGCCATGGAATCCTGCCTGACTGTTGAGGGAAAATGGTGTCCCAGGTGAGAGGGAGGTGGAATGGAGTATCCTGGGAGAGGGCGCTGGTGACTGCTTGGGACATTGAACAGGAGCATGCCATGTTGTAAAACTGTACCATTTCAGGCTGTTGGTGGGGGCCTGTATGAAAAACTTCTACCACATGAAGAAATTCATGCACAAAAGAAACCAGAATGCTTGGGAGAGGGCTAGGCAAGAACCTCCCCATGCACCCTGGCACTTGTGGGGGCCTTCAGATGGGACTTTTAATAAGCATCCAGGGCAACTGGTGCTTTCAACTATTTTGGGATAGTCACACACACTCTGTTATTCCAGTCGATTTGCCTAACAGAAGTGGATCCAAAAGTACTGGCAGGGGAAGAGATCGGGTTGTACATATGCAGTACTATCCCCCTACACATTCTCTGAGTGTGCAAAGGGATTCAGGTGAACCTTCCTAGATCACCTACTGCATGGCAGTGGAAGTGGTGGAGAGATAATTCTTTCATGTCTCCACTGCATCCTTGAGGTGCTGTCTGGCTTCTCCAAGTGGCGTAGGGCTTAAGAACATCTACTCTGGTGAATGGTACCGTGGTGGAACCCTCAGAAGCCTGCCTTGACAGGTTTGCAAGGCACATCTGGAAGAAAGTCTGAGTAAGTTGCCTGGTGCACCATCTGGCTTGGTTTTATGGGATCAGCTTCAGCTTTCTGAGATCTGAAGATGTGCACACGGTGCTTTCTGTGGCAACATGTGCTCTTGACCCTTGCTTATCATTGCCGATTTGAGTGAGCTGGAAAGGTCCAGAGCATGTACGTAGGGCAGTATGGAAATGTTTAAATCATAAACCAACTCAAATATAGGACTTCATATAAAGAACATGAAAGAATCTTTGTTCACAAGATTTGGAAACAAGCCCTGAGAAGCTCCGAGAATGATGCATGTACTTATGAGTGGTCCTAGTATCATCATGTCATATTTAGCTAAGGCTGCTATCCTAACCCCACTTACTGAGTAAACCATACTGAATTCAGTAGCACTTACTTCTGTGTAGAAATGGTACTAACTGCATTGCTAGTAACTTTTGTCAGTTATAATTAGTGTGTAGTTGGGTGTATATGTGTGTGTGACTTTTTTTTTTATTAGCTTCTTAATTTTATTTTATTTTTGATTTTATTTTCACTGTCTGCATTTTCCAGGCTGCTGGCATTCCTTTTGTAGATAATCTCATCCCGTTTACTCTGCTCTATGGTAAGATAATGTTTGCTTTTCCAATACATTTTATTCCTTCAGAGCCTGCCAACAATGAATAACACGTTCCAAAAAAATATGAAAACACAAACCACTTGGAATTAAGTCCCTTTGGTTTCCATGGAACTTAGTTTTGTGTAACAAGTTTATCACTGGCGTCTAATTATCTCCTGCCATCCTGTAACATACGCTTCAGCATAAGGGAATTATTCTTAATAATAAATTAATATTAGTTATAGTTTTCAATTCAGTTCTGCAGTTGTAATACATGCAGGCACGTGTAGCGATTGTGTTACAGCTGGGAAACACATATGCTGCTTTTCACAATAACATTATGAGTTTTTCCATGAGCTTCATCCTAAAGTTATGCTATCTTTGTGTTTCTAGTGAACATGAGATCCGTCTGATAAATGCAACCCGGTTCTATGACATACTGGGATGGAATATGAGGAAATGGCAATTTTTAAAAAAGCAATGTACTTTGTAGTCTTGCGTGGTAATGCTTATCTGGGCTTGTTTCGCACCTGGCACCCTTAGGCAGCTGTGGGACCTTGACAGGGCCCAGTGCTGAATTGCTTTCTTTTATTTCTTCCATTTATATCCCACCTTTTCTTCCAAGGAGCTCAAGGCAGCATACGTGGCTTTCCCCTTCTTATTTTATCATCACAACAACCCTGTAAAGTAGGCTGAGAGACAGCGACTGGTTCAAGGTTGCCCAGTGAGCTTCATGACGAGGGCTGGATTAACCATTAAGCAAAATAAGAACATGTTTAGGGCATCAAGGGAAGGGGGGCACCACGTAAATTTTCCCTTGCCAGATTTACCATGGGCCATATGGTTCCATCAAAAGGCTCCCATAATAAATACCTGAAGGTGTATAATGAAGGTGCCAGTTGAATCTTCCTGAGGAGAGCATTCTACAAATGAGGAGCCACTGCAGAAAAGGCCTGTTCTCATTTTGTCACCCTCTGGACCTCTCGTGGAGGAGGCACACGTAGAAGGGGCTCAGAAGACAATATCAGGGTGTGGGTAGGTTCTTATGGAGAGAGATGGTCCTTGAGGTATTGCAGTCCTGAGCTGTTTAAGACTTTTATAGGTCAAAACCAGCACTGGGCCCAGAAACTAATTGGTAGCCAGTACAGTCAGATCAGGGTTTGTGTAATATGCTTAAACTGTCTTTGCTCCGGTTAGCAACCTGGCCATCGAATTCTGCGCCAGCTGAAGTTTCTGAATTGTCTTCAGAGGCAGCCCTATGTAGGTGTTTAAAGACAAGACCTGCTTCTGCTGGTGGCAGCAGGCAAGCTTGTAGAAGACCATAGTGAGAAGACACTTTGCAAGGGGACTCTTTAGATCCGAAGCTGGCCATGTCCCCCTTTCCTCTTCTGTAGCAGGCAAATCCCCATGCACTCACAGGATTCTGCCTTCTGCGTAAGACACTGGGGAGTCTATGTGTTTTCAGGGGGCTGTAATTCAGAGTCCATAGTCTCTGAAAGAAGTGGGAGGGATCGCAAGTCAGTTTCTATATTTGGGGTGAGTTTGCTTTATTGTTGCCCTATTACGATTTTCAGACATTTTGTACAGGAAAAGAAGGCTGAAGAAAAAGGATAACTACCTTATGTAATAAAATTTCAAAGAGCGTGAAAATATCCATTGGTTCATTGTCAAAACTTTATAAAGCCCTAAGGAGATCAAGTTTACAAAAGAAAGAAGGCTAAGTGAGAAAATGATTCCAGGCATGTCTGAGGATTTGAAGAAAAATATGAAAAGTTAAAAGAGAATGGAGTGTTGCTTTCCAACTATGAATGTGTCAAAACAAGAAAAAAGCTAGACAGTACCTGACCTGCAGGTTTGTCATTTCTTTGATTCATAGACAAGAGTGTTTTCTTCACATATGCCTTCACTCTGTCCAAATCCCCAAATCCTCTTTAGTTGAAGTAGAGTTACAGGTGATCTACAGAAGCTCAGACAGGATGACTGAGTTGTACTTATTGACAAGGTGTCCAAGAGAATTTTGTAACAAGGCAGAACAGAAAATTATCTGCCACCTACAACTTTCTCAGTATTCAGACCTTTGGACCATATCAGCGAGGCCAAGGGGAGAGTCATGTCATCTGGGCAGCTGAGGACCTCCATACACACTGCCCAAGCTTGTGCCTCAGGGTGGTCATTTTGGTACTGCTAATGCAGCGGTTTGACTTCACCCCCAGTGGTGCACTCCATTTTCTCTGGAGACTGAATGATGCCAACCAGCCAGGCTTGCAATCTAAAAGATGTGACACAAAAAGAAAAGAGTTGGGGAGGGGGCATTAAAAAACAAACAAACCACAAGCTTGGTTATTCATTCTTTTCACAGATTTCAAATCTCAAGCTCATCACCAGTTGCCATTGACATAACTGATTATGGGGCTGGGACATGACAACAATCAAACCTCTATTAACCTCCCTAGGCAATTTTGTTCTGATATGCAACGGTGTTTTCCCTAAGCTTCAGCCCCAAATCTATTATTTTAGATTGTTAAGCAATAATTTTGTCATGTTGTCAAAATTACATTTCTTTTTACCATTTTTAAAACGACTGGTGCCAAGTTGTTCTATTTCAAATATATTCATTAATAATCTGATTAGTATAGAGCTTTGGTTTTAATTGGAGGGAAGTAGTCGTACAAGTCTCTAATAACAAAGGGGCTTAAAATAAAATCCTATGAATGTATACTCAGAAGTAAGTTCAATTTAGTTCAATGGGGCTTGATCCCAGGTAAGTGTATGTAGGAATGCATGGTAGGCCTCAACAAATCATAAAGTTGGAAGGGACCCTGATGATCAAGTCTAACACCCTACAGTGCAGGAATATGCAGCTGGATCAAACCTGCAAGCTTGCCGTTGTCAGCACCACACTCTAACCAACTGAATTTATACACCTCCTGGGGCAAAAACCACATTGAACTTACTCCTGAGTAGACCTATAGAGAGTGACACTGTGGAAGGCATGCACTCTCTTAAGAAAGAGTCACTTTCATCAGCTGCGACCCACATTTTTATCTTCATCTGTGGGTTTGCCCCACATTTCATTCTCATTTTCCAGTCCAGAGAAACTGAGCATTAAACCAGTTTATATACAGGGATGCTGAAAGAAGCAAAGCCCATTGTAGCAAGTGCCAGGAGCATTTTTGTTTCTGTTCTCTCAAAGACACATCATGAGACTAGCTCCCCCCACCTTTAATCTCAAATGCTAATTGTGACTTTTTAAAGTGTGTGGGGAGGGGAAAGGAATCAAATAAAGCTGGAAAATGCACTGCACCATTTCATCGGAGGGGATTCTGCTATAAAGAAAGCATACCACAGCCTGGCAGCACCTAGGTGGAAGCAGATGAAATGTCCTTAATTTGATTCTGAGACACGCCTGATGCCAAGACTCACTACAGCCGCAGTTCATTGTATAATCTGTTTCCACATAATGTTGCCTTGCATTGAAAAGAGTTAGGCAAAATTATAATTCCCCTTATTATATTAATGGCTTTGGGGGCATACAATGAAGAGGAGGAAATCCCCCACCTCTACTAACCATTTCAATGCATCCAGTGCTATCAGTGCCCTGCATTTTCCCAGTCAGCTTCCAAAATCCCTACAACGTCCCAGCTGCCAGGTTTTGTATTTGGTTCTTTGATTTAGATGAATAATGTTTAAAAGTTCATGGGGTGTGAAATGGCATCTATGCACAAAAGGAGGTTCAGTAGCATAAATGATATTTCGTCCCCAAGGGCAGTTCAATTTATGCTCATGAAACGTGGCCTCAAATGTTGCCGTCTTTGGCTGGTAATGTACGGCTGGGCTTTTCGTTAAAAACCTAATTTGCTGCTTTGCTACACCTCCTTTTGAGAGGCCCTCATCAAAATGCAACGGGCTTACTGATACAAAAGGGCAAAGTCCAGTACCTTTGTTTTGTTGTTTAAGAGAACAGCCCAGTGCCTCTAATGCACTGCTTAGTGTTTGCTACGATTTGGAGACAGGAAAGATTAAACGGCATATTTTGGCTGTAAGACAGATGGAAAAGATAATTTAATTGGGCTGTGTGTCATTGAGCATGGGCACTGTCCTTGTCTCTTCTCTTTAGATCTATCAAAGGTTCCTGACAAGGGTGAGGGGAATGGAAGAAAGATGCTCAAGCCTTGGGCAGGGGGCAGCGGCTTCTTGCTTGGGGTCCTGAAGCTCGCTTGGGATCAGCAAAATGGCTGCACAAGGCTAAAGAGGCAGCTAATCCTTCTACAGTCCTCTGTTAATATGGCTGCTGTTTTCATTGGGGGTGTTCAGATCACTTTGCCCATTTAACTATTTTTATTGTGTACTTTAACGTTAGTAAGGTTTCTGAGGCTTGCTTTAAACAGAAAAGTTGGGTAGAAATAACAAAAAGAAGCTTACAGATACCAGCAGGCTTTTACAAGCAGTTAGGCCCTTTTACCTCAGGCTCAAACTACACAGCATAGTGGATCGCTTTTGCTTCTAAAGCCATGTGCTCTCCAACATTTCTCCAATGAAAATAGTGACGTCCTGTTGTAAATAAAAATATGCCCTTTTCCCTTATGGGGTACCCAAGAGCCCATATAGAGTCCTTACATAGGTTCCCTATTGGTAGGAGAAAATAACAGAGGCCAACCAGAGAATACTGAGAAGCAAAGCAGCTAGTAAGCTTGATCTTTATTAATCTGTTGCAACAGGGTGCTCCTCACACGCAGGAGAGGAAGAGGACCCCAAAAATGCTGTGCAAGGGCTTATAAAGACTTTTGAAATTCCCATCCTCTAGATCAAGACCACCCCCAGAAACATTATGCATTCATCACAGAAGGGGTGTAACCTAAGACCACCCCTCAGATACATCCCACCTACATCACAAAAATTTAAATGTTGTTTTTCTCCTGTCACAGTTTATCTCCTGTCTGGCAAGTTACTTGATTGGATTGCCTGGGGAGCCTGGCCATTCTTTTGTAGTGGTAAAATACTTATTTCCTGGGCCAGGTCACAGGCTCACACCTTATTCATACAGACATATCCTTGAAACACGATTTGTGAGGAAAGAGGCAATGGGGAGGCTTTTCCATTTTTACCATGCAGAGAAACATTTGCTCAGTTTAGGAATCAAAATGGTTCCAGGTTGGCTTTCCTGTGCTGATCTATGTACGTGTGGTTATGAACGTTGCCATATATCTAAAACCATAAAATTCCTATCACATTATCATTCCATAATGATAATTTTACTATTTACACCCCACACATATTACTGGGTTGCCCCAGCTACTCTAGGTGGCTTCCAACATATATAAAAACATAACAAAACATTAGACATTAAAAAATCTTCCCTATATAGGATTGCCTTCAGATGGCTTGGGGGTGCGGATGACTCAATGCCCTTCAACATTTCCCCAATGAAGGTGGGACATTCCAGGTTCAAATCAGAAACCGGGACGGCTTCTCTAAATCAGGAAGGTCCCTGAAAAATAGGGATACTTGGAGGACTGCATGTGTGCCCCAATTTGCACATGCAGCAGGGTGGGGAGATCTGTTTTTTTAAATATTTGTTTAGCAAGTGTGCAGGTGATGGTAGAGTGCAAAAGCCTCCTGTAGCACCATGGCTTACCTTCCCTTAGTCTGTCACCTCCAGTGCTGCTTACTGAATGGGAGAAGCAACACAGTGGGCAGGTCAGTGTGGCACAGATGCACAACTATTTTGTTGACACATATAAATATATTGCTCAGATTGTGGAATTTTAAAACTGGCTTCCTAGCCTGTGGAGCCATGATTTCCCAAGGCTGAACTGTAACATCACATGTTGTTTGTTTGTTTTAAGCACAGCATTTCAGAGCACCATGTATACCCAAAGGCAGATGTGTTCCAAAGAGCACTGGGGACCTGTACAATCATAGGTGAATCCACCACAAGCTGCCTTTGTTGATACAGATGCACACAAAGATGCAGGTGTAGAGATGGAGCAGCACACGGAGATGCTGCCAAGGAAATCTGAAAACTCCCGAGCATCACTAGCCAAAATGCAGATGCTAGCAATGACTGACAAGGCCAGCACACCGTGTCTCAGTGTTCAGACACAAAGTGATCTGAATAACCATGAAAGAATGATGGACACTGCACTAGCATTGCTCAATATTGATGGCTCTGGCAAGGAGCTACACATTACCTGTGTGCCAAACATCAGACAAGACAATGCTACGTGTTTTCCTGCAGCCAAGAAGAGAAACAGAGTGGTGATGGCGGGGGGTGGGGGTGGGACTCTCAAGCTAAAATAAAAGGTGCTTGCTGCATGACATGGTGGATAATAGTCATCAGGGCACATTAAGTGTGTCTGTACCAAATGTGTCTCTGTCTTTTGTACCTTAACAATGTGTACCCTCATCCAGGGACGATCCTATGATGAGGCAGAGTGAGGCAGTTGCTGAGGTATGAGGAGGACACTAGTCTTCTGCCCTCAGGTGCAGTGGAAGATACAGTCCTTTCCCCAATATTGGGGCAAGATTCAACTACCAGTCAAACGCACTTCTGTTTGTGCCTTGGGGAAAGGCTCCATCTTGTCCTTCACCCCAGGCAGCAAAATGTCTTGAGGTGGCCTCACCCTCATCAGTGAGGGCCTGCTAATTTTATATACAAATATTGAAGCTGCATTGTCTTATCTGCCTGTGTGCTGTAGTAGTTAGAGTGGTGGACCAGAATGAGGGAGATCAAGGCTCAAATCTCTACCAAGCCACAAATTCACAAGGTGACCTTGGGCCAGTCACAATTTCTTGGCCAAACATACTTCACGGGATTGTTGTGAGGTGAAAATAGAGACCTATGAATGCTACCTTGAGGTCCTTGGTGAAAGGTGAGATATACACATAGATGTTGCATTGAATCTATAATTCAATGCATATATAACCCATGCAGATGGGTCACAGGTTCAATTCTTGGCAGCTCCAGGTAGCATGGGGAGAGACACTTGTCTGAAATTTTAGAGAGCTTCTGCCAGTCAGTTCAGACAATTCTGAGGTAAATAAAAAAATCCATTCCACCAGCACAATGCAGTGTACATAACCATGCGCAGGTGTTCTTATAAATGGGAAATTCAACGTGCGAGGTGGGTGTGAGGATATGCTCTACCTCCTCAACCCCATTGCCCTCTATGTATTCAAGCCTACTGTACTCATGGAGGTTTCTGCACACTGTAGAACCCTCAAAAATCAGGGTTGTACACCACCCAAGGAGCCTACATCAGCAGAAGCAGACTTCAGAAAGTTGCCTTTAAACTTGCCAAGGGTCATGGGGACTGAGTAGGGCTATAATAGACTATTAGCTAGTCTATTCATTAGAACCAAGGGAGAGAACATGTAGCTCTCCAGCTTTTGCTGAACAACAACTCCCATCATTCCTTTGGTAATTCTTTCTGAGGCTGATGGGAGTTCCACTCTCTTTCTTCCATCGCCTTTTACTCTCTCCCTTTCTGCCACCCCCTTCTCTCCCTTTCCCCACATTTCTTCCTCCTTTCTACCCACATAAAATTAATCTGATCGTCAAAGGTTTCTTGCCCCATCTCTAGCTTTATTTTTGGGTTTTTTGGGTTTTTTTGTAGCTCTAAGATATAATTTCTGTTCGTGAAGGTTTTCTTCAACTAAAGCAAGTTAAAAGAAGATATCAGCTGATCATCTCAGATAACTGTGTCAATTATCTGGCCATATTCATCTGCAGCTAGGCTGCAACACTCAACATCTAAACTTTCCTTTTGCCTTTTCAACCTAGTCAAATTATACTAGCGTGAGCTTTACATGCCTAATGAAGTACAGCTCAAGAGATTAGGAACAAAGCATTTCTGTAGAACTAACATGCACTTCAGCAATGTGAGTGCAGGGACTGTTGCTTATCCACAAATAGGTTCTGTCAG